TTTGCTTTATATTATAATTTTTAGAATCATAGAATGACATGTAAGATTGTATGCCATAACAATAAATAAGACAAAGAGAGAGATTAGGATATAGGTAATTCAAACTGTGCAATTTGACTTGTTGTCGAAGTAGTATGTTTGCCAGTCAATGCTCCATCGCTCCTCATGCCAATTGACACCTCCATTCCTCGTCGTGCTGGGCTGACCACAAGCTATACGACCCTTCTTGAAAGTTGTTTGTCAAAGGAAGAAATCATGGCAAGAATTGGACCAGCAGAGCTTGAAGGTTGCCAACAATAGCAAGAATATTTGCATTATTAGAAATAAAATATATGAATGATTGCTGATGATTAGCTTCAAATTATTCTTTCCCAAAAGGGTGTGCAAAAATCATGTAAATGATGAAGGTGTAATTAGCATGCTGAGGCCTTTAAAATGAAAATAGTAGCATTGATGTCACTTTGCTGGTAGTCCCACAGATATAAGAATCTCATGATTCATCATTGTTGTTTTATATCTTTTTTTTTATAAACTAAGATATTAAGTAAAAATATCAAGAAAAGAATAGCCTTGATATTACTTCCCTGGCCTTACGAGCTTGAAGATTGGTGACAAATGGTGACCAGTTACCATGAGACACAGAATGTGCAACATCACAACCGAAACTCGTCACCAGGTATAAACCCCAATTCTTATCAAGACTAATAAAAAATTTGCACGCTCTAGCCCATGTGCCATGGTGCCTCGTAGGTGCCATCTCGATCTCGGAGAATCTTGTCTTGTATGGCTTCGGGATGCCATTTTGATGTAGTTGTTGGTATTGTGATTGCAGTGCTAAACGTATCCATAACAATCAACTTTCCCAACCTGTTTCTGCATATCAATATTTTCTATAAAAAATAAAATGCTTCGTAGCTATATGCAATAAAGCAGTAATTTATGAGCTGGTTTCTATACGTCATATTGGGAAAATAATTATGTAAAAATAGCACACTCACAAAATGATCTGCTTATCTCATCAAGTATCAAATACTGTGTTTTTGAACAAGAATACCAGCATCGTGCCTTTTAATGTTGAAGGAATCTAATCCTTTTAAATTTCAGTAAAACTGGAACCCCGTGACTGAAGTTTACAGTTAATATTGGTTTTGTTGAAGATAATTCCCAAATAATTCATTATTTTAATAATAGAACAGAGAGCCCATAAAAAGTATTGGAATAGCCAAAGGTTATAAGCCAATAAACATTGATTGGAAAGATCAAAAGATTTCCACACTTTACGTTGACTGACTCTCTTAATCCAGTCCATATAATGTCTTTTTCAGGAGCTAGAGGAAATGCATCTCAAGTACACCAATTAGTAGGTATGCGAGGGTTAATGTCGGATCCACAAGGACAAATGATAGATTTACCCATCCAAAGCAATTTACGCGACGGAATTTCTTTAACAGAATATATAATTTATTGCTATGGAGCCCGCAAAGGGGTTGTAGATACTGCTGTACGAACATCAGATGTTGGATATCTTACACGCAGACTTGTTGAAGTGGTTCAACACATTGTTGTACATCGAACAGATTGCGGTACCATTCGAGGGATTTCTGTAACTACCCGGAATGGAATGATGTCGGAAAGAGTTTTGATACAAACATTAATTGGTCGTGTATTAGCAGACGACATATATATAGGTTCAAGATGCATTGCCGTTAAAAATCAAGATATTGGGATTGGACTTATCAATCGATTCATAACCTTTCAAACACAACCAATATCGTTCAATGATAACACGGTACATTGATGTCATTTTGCTGGTGGCCGCACAGATATAATTCAATGAAATGCAAATTGAATTCATTTTTATGACAATTTAATGAATTGCTTTTTCCTTCAGTAATCATGTAGATAAACGTTTTGAATCTCGACCACCAAAATTTGAAGGATGTATTAAAATCATTAATTGATTTTATAATCAATTAATAATTTTAATAGTATTAAATAAGACATTATTGTAATTACTAACATTTTAGCAATCAACAATTAATTTAGTAACTGATGCGATAAATAATTAATTCAACCGAATAAATATTATCCGTTTTTGAATTCATCTATAATGAATTCAATCAGGTCCATAACCCCCTTTTTATTTTCTACCATATATATATAGATATATATATATATATATATATATATATCTATTTTAATTTATATTTTGACATTATAAACTGAATAACATTTGCACCTCGGATAAAAAGTTTTTGTGTACTAGATTATGGTCTTTCAATCATATATCATATTGTAATTCATACTTATAGCCATGGGGCTTTTAAACAATAATAATAATAATAAGGATATTATTTTGTTTCTGTGCACCGAATGATTCTGACTTCCTTGCAAAAGCATGCTTTCCAATTAAAATCAATTAGCGATTTGGAAACAGGCTGATGCCACACCTTATAAGATTGATAAAATCAATCAAATATTAAGATAGAAGAAATATTTCCTTATCAGAATCATGTTTTGCAAAGGTGGATCCTTTTCTTAAATAATATTAAAAATTGGATCCTTTTCTCAGATATTGATATAAAATATTAAAAAGGTGGATCATTTTCTCAAATAATATTAAAAGAATGATCCTTTTCTTCCAATATCCAGGTAAAATATTAAAAGATGGATCCTTTTATCAAATAAGATTAAAAAGATAGATCCCTTTTTTTCCTCTTTCACGTAAATTTAGAATTTTAATAGGAAGGAGACTTAGCTTTTGTTCTTTGCTTCATTAGCCCCGATCTCGGCTATGTTCTCAGTCTTGATCTTGATCTCTACCATGATCCCGACAACGGTAGTGGTCATAATTTCGATCTCAGCACCATCTCGGCTTCATCATGTTTGTTGAAACAATTACGAACTGTGATCGGCCTCGAACAGTTGATGAGTCTTATTTTTGTACTTTGCGCTCATCGTATTAGGATTTGGATGTGGCGGCGACTGTTGCGCTTTCACCATTGTTGGGTGGGAATCGAAGTTTACGATTCCCACAGACGGCGCCAATGTTCTGTCTGAAAGACAGAGACGTCCAACCGGTGGCTGGTATATTTTATGTAGGATCTAGGTGCCCTCTCTCAAGTATCTATGAAAGAGATACCCTTGAGGGTAGGCTGATCACTTTGCACAATAATAATCGACATAGTCAAGGCGTGGGGTGTGTGCACAGTGACAAGCTAAGAGAGAGGGTTTAGAGAGTGTCTGTACCTTATTGGTTTAACCCTGTATTTATAGATGGGTTACCTGAAGGAGTGTAATTCTGGGCCTCTTAGGAATATTGGGGGCCCAAGTCCAACTGTTTAGCTGTCTGGTTAGGATTGCCATCAATAGGAGATTCTCTTCCTTTTGTGTTGTCCTTTATTGGTCCTTCTAGAATACGGGCCTTTGTCAGGTCCATAACAGAAACTTTCAAGAGCTTTAATTAGTTTATTAAGTTAGATGTACATAGTTATAGACATGCTTGTTAGGAGGGCAAGTTTTTTTCCCTATGTAGGCAAGTTTAAGTGTGAACTTAGCACAGAAGTAGGCAATTTACGTAGAGACATAAAAGAAAATCCTTTCATAGAGGAGAGCATTTTTTTTCTTTCATCATGCATTGTCAATCTTGCTATATTATATTGATAAAGTAGAAAATTTTGTTATATATATAAATTGATTTAGCATTTGAAGACCTATTAGCTTTTTCTTTTGATTTGAACATAATTTTTATATGATGCCAAGTCATGCTTATTATAGTCTTCATTATTCTTCGCTCATTGGGTTGCATCTCACTCAATTCTTGCTTATTTTCAGATCAAAGCAATGAGATAGTATCTGAGTTCATCAATTTGATTTGATCGAGCAAGTCTTGTTGATTTGTTCGTGTGATTTGAAGTTGTTATTATGGACTTTGAGTGCCTTATATGCTTTCAATATGGAGTTACTTCATTTTTTTTACAAATACAATTATTGTTATTAGAAGTATTATAGTGCCAAACTATTTGTTGTAAACTTGATAATCATTGTAAACATAATGTATTTTTTTTTCGAGACTTTATGATGTTAGTCTCACTTCTTGAGAAGTAACTAAGTTTCTTACTTTCTTTTTATCTTTAAGTTTCCTGGTTCTATTTATCTACTTTTCATTTAGTTTGTTTCTTTTATGTAGCACCCATTGAGCTTGGTCCTAATGATCAGTGCTATAAGAGATAGAGTTGCGATCGTTGTAAAACGAGTAAAAGCTCCCTTTTCCAGGAGGAATACCCATGGCCTTTCTTTCTAAGCCGTACATGTGATGTAAACGAAGTGTTTGGTAATTTATACTATTTGAAACCTTGACCATGTATGCCAGAATCGCATATGATTGTATTGCGATTGTTTTAATTGTTTGCCGTACGTTTATTGGAGATTTTAGATTTGTAATTGGGTTAAATGATTCCGTAAGCCTATAAACTAAGGGGGCTTTTGGTAGGAGGGTTGTTTTTTTATTTTTGGAAAAGTGATATTGGAAATTCTATTTACCCACGATTGATATAAAGATTGTGAAAATTTTCAAGGAATCTGATTTTTCCAGAATTTTGATTTGTGAATACTTTTTAAAACAATTGTCATCCAAGTGGTGGTATTATTGGATTCCTGATAGATGAGAAAAGATTTTGGCCTCCGGGCCACTAGTGCCGTGATAGCACCACAGTGCCAAGTGTTCAAACAATATTTTCTTCTCGCGCCAATAGCGAGGTGATGGCGCCACTAGCGCTAACAGTGCAGCTTTTTGACCCTTATAACCCTTTATTAATAATTAATTACCAAATTGACTTCATTATAAACTATTTTGAAAATTTAACCTCCCAAAAAAATATAATACCAATCTGCCCCTGTTTGACCGTTGATCACCAAGCCTACTCGGGTACACCTCTCCCTACCCGGGTATATTTTGAAATTTTATGCCTACCCGGATAGGGAGGGGTGTACCCAGATATATTTCTTAAGATCTGGAAAGTAGGGGTGTACCCGGATAAATCTCGGGTTTCAGGGATACACAAGAAAACATAGAGTGGTATTTCTTGGGGTTGCTTCAAGGGTTGGAAAGCATTCTTGAATTTGGCAATTCCAAGATGCATTTCAGTTTGCCTTGAATGGTGGTGGTACGAAATCATGATTTTACTCTGCGGATTATTGATTAAGCCACAAGCAGTTGTTGCATCCACGGGAGTTCTGATTCAAACCACTGCCTTGATATACATTTTTCCATCTTCCTTGAGTTCTTTTAAATAGGGGTTTCCAGTCATACATACATACCAGTGACAAGTGTTGTACCCACCTTCGAATTGAGTCGCCATTAATATCACACAGCAAGCAGCAGTTAATTACATAAAACAAAATTCTCCAAAAAAAAAAAATGAAGAACAAAAAGGAATCAAAACAGAATTTTCAATTACTTGATAAGAAGATAAGTGCATCTCGCTTGCGAGTTTCGGCGAAAGCTTCTTCACCCCATGGATACCAATCAACCTAAAAAATAATGGATTATGAGTGAAAAATGAAAAAGAAGCAATATTGTGAGGAACGTGAGATTAATAAAATAAGGGACTTACTGGGTTATGAGCGTGTTGAAGAAGATAAGGGCTTTGCTCAGAAGCAAGTCGATTGGTATACTTGTGGTTGGAATGAGATGTTGTTGCCATTGAAAGGACCTTGATTTTGAGAATAGGTGAGGAAGTGGAGTTTAATTTAGTGGAGTTTTAGGAAAGAGATACACACGAGATTTATCCGGGTACACCCCTCCCTACCCGGGTAAATAATTCTAGATCTCAAGAAATATACCCGGGTACATCCCTCTCTACCCGGGTAAGTATAAAATTTCAAAATATATCCGGGTTGAAAGGGATGTACCGGGTAGGCTTGGTGGTCAACGGTCAAACAGGGGCAGATTGGTGTTATGTTTTTTGGGAGGTTAAATTTTCGAAATAGTTTATAATGAAGGTCAATTTGATAATTAATTATTAATAAAGGGTTATAAGGGTCAAAAAGCCCTAACAATGCAGTTTTTAAAATCACCCTACATTCCCAGTAATATTTGACAATCAACCAAACATGGAATCAGGAAATTTTGTAATCGTGATTCTCAGGCAAAAAAAATTTCCACTCTACCAAATGCTTTGTGATTTCACAAAAAAATATGACGTTATGGCCAGACCGTGATGGATAATTTTTGCAATTTGGCAGAGAAGGTCATGGCTAGATTGTGTAGCAGTTCAGAAGATCTACCTGAGAAGTCACGACCATCTATGATGCACTGACACTTCAAAAATCCTGACGTGTCGTGTCTGACAATTCCCAACACTCCAATACGAGTTGCAGAGACTTAAAAAAGGGTTCAAAAGTTGCGTTGTATTGCGTTTTTAATTCCAACTATTAGATTCGTTGAATTACGATTACCATTTTATTGGGTTTAATATAAATATTTGGGATATCTTATATTTCTTTGCAAAATTGATTGATATTATAAGTTTAGCTTTATTTTTTTGTTAAATTATTAAATATTAAATATAATATACAATACATAAATTAAAAATATTATTTAATATCAAAACGTATTCAGATCTAATATTTTTTAGAATTAACTTGTCGTATCCCGTGTCGGTGCCCATGCAACATAGACAACCATGACCCTCCCAGCATACATATGTTGCATTTTACACAATATAAATTTCATTTAAATCTTCTCCCATGAAAATTCTTATGGTTAATTTATCTTTAAATTCGAACATATATGGCCTAATCATGATCCCAATGCTCGTCCAATCAATGAGTTATATTCAAACTTTAATTTTTTCAATTCAATTGATGAAACTATTATTCTCTTTTAAATATACCAACGCAGAACTCAAGTTTTTTTTTTCCAAATGAGTGCCCCAACCCCACCCCCCCCCCCCCCCCCCGGGAGAATTCACATGGATGTGTCAAGTGGTATAATCTCATCTTTTCACTCATTCATCGTTCATTCCTTAAAATACTAAACTAGTGAATTACCCGTGCGGATGCACGGGAAAAAAAATTGGTTTGTTTGGCATGGTGGGTCGGCCCTCCGGGCCAAACTCATTTTGACAGTATTTCAAAGGTCCCAAACAGTCATTTTTTTAAATAACAAAACAGTCATTCATTGTTACATTAAAAATAGGAAAGAAAATAGGATAATAAAGGTCATGTCTTTGAAGATAGATAAGGAAAAGAGACGCGAATAAACAATCATTTTTTTTGTCTTTACCTGTACCATACAACGAAGTTATATCTTTGAAGAAAGAACCCAATATACTATAGCAGTCTTTGAAATACTTCCTTGTAAACTATATTAAGGGTACTATTCGTAACGCAGCCATTTTCATCAAGTATCAATATCTTCAATCCATGCTTACTCTTTACTCTAGACAGTGCCACATATAATTGCCCATGAGTGAAGACAGGCTTAGGGAGATAAATTGCAACATGTGAAAGTGATTGTCCTTGACTCTTGTTGATAGTCATGGCAAACGATACAATCAGGGGGAATTGTCTTCTTTGGAAATTTACAGGAAATGTATGACTCGATGGGCTCATCGTCATTCTAGGGATTAACACAGTTTCCCCTATATTGCTTCCTGTAAGTACAATTGCCTCGACAACATGATTCCCTAATTTTGTAATAAGCAATCTCGTGCCATTGCATAAACCTCTCGACTGATCAATATTTCTTAATAGCATTACTGGAACTTTAACTTTCAAGATTAATTTATTATCAGGAATCCCTGAGCATGATAATGTATTTAAGATCTCAGGGGTGATTTCATCATCCTCAACAGAGGAAGTCCCACCTTGCTTAAGAATTTTATCCGAACTCAAAAAAGTCCTTTCTTCACCAGGAATCATAGACATTAGGTGCTCGTTTAGCATAGCAACATCGGACAATTTAGGAGTTAGAATAGCACGTTCTTTAAAGAAAGTCTGATTAAAAAATATTATCCAAGAGATTCGGATAAACAAAATTAACCATATCCGACAGCGGATCTTCCGATTCTCTAATCAACAATTCATCTGGAATTGTTATAATAGATTCTCCATCAACATCATCTCCAAGATTACCATCCCCAACTTTAAGTAGCCATTCAGAAAATTCTTTTATTTCCTCTAAATTGTGAGCGCACCTTCCAGAATTAAGACGCATGTTCTTGGTCAAAGTTAATAAATGACAATGGGACCATAGATGAGAAGAATTGATGGTTGCATGAACTATATCTTGTCTGCTGCCATGAGGAATGACAGGTAATATTTGCCGAAAGTCACCTCCTAGAACAACAACTTTTCCACCAAATGGCATATCAACACAGCTTGTATCAGAAATTCTAAGAACATCTCTCAGTGTCCTATCCAGAGCCTCAAAGCAAAATCTATGTACCATTGGAGCTTCATCCCAAATGATTAACTTTGTTTTTGACAGCAACTCAGCTATAGTAGATTTCGGCCTTATATTACACGTTGAATCTTCATTGATTTGAATAGGAATACGAAATCTAGAATGCGTTGTTCGTCCTCCAGGAAGCAGAAGGGAAGCAATTCCGCTAGAAGCAACATTAAGTACGATTCCAGCTTTTGATCTAATAGATGCTGAAAGAGTATTCCAAATAAATGTTTCTCCTGTACCACCGAACCCGTATAGGAAAAATAACCCTCCATTACCTGCCATAACTGCTGAAACAATTTTATCATAAACAGCTTTCTGCTCATCAGTGAGGGAATTAATTAGTCTTTTATGCTCCTCTTCCAAAGCAAATCTGTCATACATTAATTCATCCAACACTAATCGATTTTTCATATCAAGCAAAGTTTCACTATTGATGCGTGCCATTGACGGATAATCAGAGAGGCATTTCCCATTGCTCTGCAGTACTTTATCAATTTCTTCAAGAGTTATGTTTTTTATAGACTCTTCTGTAAGAATTGCATCTAACAAAGCATAAAATTCAAAGGAAAAAAAATTAAAAAATTAACAAAGATAAAGTAATCAAAGAAAGAAAAGAGAGTGAAATAAGTACTAAAGCATCATTTGCTGAATGCGGGCAAAAAAAAAACAAAATAAGCACTAAAGCAACATTTGCTGAATACGGACAAAAAAAGCTAATAAGTACTAAGGCAGCATATGCTGATTTCGGTTAAACAAAAAAAAATTGTATGAAATATTATTATAACACGTACCTTGACGTCCTATTCTTTTCCTATGCCGATAAACAACGTCGTCGGATAAAAATTTCCAACACTCTTCCCAAACTTTTTCAGGTCTGTTCATTGAGTTGACAAATAACAACAGAGCAAACATAACTGAGTTATATTCAAACTTTAATTTTTTCAATTCAATTGATGAAACTTTAATCATGATCCCAATGCTCGTCCAATCAATGAGTTATATTCAAACTTTAATTTTTTCAATTCAATTGATGAAACTATTATTCTCTTTTAAATATACCAACGCAGAACTCAAGTTTTTTTTTCCAAATGAGTGCCCCAACCCCACCCCCCGGGCGAATTCACATGGATGTGTCAAGTGGTATAATCTCAGCTTTTCACTCATTCATCGTTAATTCCTTAAAATACTAAATACTACTCATCAATCACTAAACATTATATAAAATTTCTACATATTATTAATTACACATGCCTATCTTAGAATAAAAAAAGAATTAATTTAAAAAAATTATAACAACAATTCACTAATTCATTAATTTAAAAGAAACTCTAAATATTAATCAACATATTTTTATTGCAACAAAATTATTTCTATGCAGTAAAAAATAGTAATTATAAAATTACTATTTTTACTATAACAAAACTATTCCTTGTTAATTACTATTTTTACTGTAACAAAATTAGAATAGTGATATTTTTACTGCAACTTCACTCTTTGAATTTTTAATTTTAGTGGTTAATGAGTAGTGTTTAGTATTTTAATGTTGAACGGGAATGAGGAATGAGTGAAAGGCTAAGATTGTACCACTTGGCACACCCGTATGAGTTGCCCAGGGGGGCGCGGCACTCCCTGGAAAAAAAAAATGTAAGTTCCACGAAGAAGGCATACCCATTGGTTCCTCTGCGATACTAAACAACTCTATTAATAAATATCGGAAATTAAATACCAGATTAAGTTCGGTGAAAGACCCTCTTAGCCCTTAAATTTAGGTTTAAGATAAACATATGCAAAACGTCCATGTCAAGTTGGCAAATTGAATTATACATATCCCACTTGATTTTCCTACTAGATAAATGCAACTTTCAGATATTAAAATTAAAGATGTTTCTAATTCAAATTTGGATAATTGATTACAATCAGTTTATCCTACTAAATTAATTTAATAAAAATAGACTATATATTTTTACGATTTTGTTCATTCTCATTTATTTGGGATGATTGATTAGAAGCTTCTGGGAACCAAACGCCGATGCAAGTTGGCAAATTGAATTAGACATATTCAACTCGATACAGGCTCCCCCTGCATGCCGGTGATCAACCCCATATATATAAACACTTGAGTTATTTCCGGTGTCAACTTGGCGGGTACATATAATTTTCTGAGTAATTATATGATTCATATTACCTATATACATAGATATAATAAGTGATTATTATCATTACGTTATTTTATTTTATTTTCTAGTTG